AATTACGTCAGTAATTTTAATTTTAATTATATCTTCTTCTACAAGATCTGTCAAGCTTACTCCTTCTCTGACGTTCTTGTCTCGTACTTTGTCTTTTCTGGTTTTTCCTATTATTTAACGTTAGTACAATATCGTCTTCTTTCTGTAAACACTACCTAAGTAGTCCATTGCAAACAGTATTTAATCTCCTACCAGGATAATTTAGATTTTTGCAGTAAACATCTGGTGTTGTAAGTTGTACAAACTCATGTTCTGTAGACACTTTTTACACTATAATGAAACTGAAATAGTGTAGAATGTTTTTCATTTATTGACGTAATTTCCTATCTAATTATTTATTAGCTCAAAAAATAACTTTTAACACTTGCACTGAAATAAAAAAAAAATCAAATAAAAAACCGCGAATGAAGAAAGAAAAGTGAAGCCGGCGCCAGTGTTCTAGTTAAATCAACACGTGACAGGTGTAGGGTTGAATAAAAACGACAAGGCCGAAGAAGCGAAGAGAGAGCCCCCCGTTCTCATTCGCGAGAACCGTTCGTGCGGTTTTAAACCTGATGTTCCGTAAGACAACGTGTTTATGATTGGAAAAATTCGCCTCCGAGACGGTATCGGATAACCTCAAACCCTCGAACAGAATGAAACCAAAACGATTTTTTAAAGGAAGAATTCTTTTTTCAAGAAAAAATTGTCTCGTTATATTTAAAATACGACTTTCAATTTCTACGTTTTGGTCTTTTTTAAGTGTGTTGGTCTATTTACAAAAACGACGAAGACGATGTTGAAAGAGACGACGACGAGGACGATAATAATAATGTGCACATCCAATTACAAGGGCCAAGCACGTCTCGGTATCTCACATACATACGGGGCTCTCTCTGCTGGTTAGGTTGTTGTTGTATATTTCTTGGTCGGAGCCAATTACGGTGGCCCCCCGGACCATTAAGAAACCGAGCGACCGAGGTGCACGTATTGTTACCGTAATTATCAGCGCTCGAGTGAGTTAAGAAGACCCCCAAATGGTCACAGGAATACATACATTATTTTTCCGAAGCATTATCAAAGTTTTCTCTTTTTTTCCTTTTGTGTAATAAAAAGTAAACAAAAACAAATTAATCATAAAACCGGAAATAAAGTTATACAACTTGGTCGCTGATAGTTTTACTGGTAGTTTTAACGCCGTTCGCGCGGCGGCGGCGGCATTGCTCCGAGTCGCGATTCATCGTAGTCTTTTTGCGTTAATTACCTCGACGACGGCCTTAAATCAAACCGGGCATGTCCCCGGAGTGTAATTAAAACCTGAGAACAAGCACTTTTCAGTTTTGCGAAAAACAAATACGCGAGCGACGCGATAAATCAGGCTAACGGGGGCCCCACCACACTTGCGATTAAAAACGGTTATTAACAAACACAAGTTTATTACTCACCTTAGAAAGGGGTTTTCAATTTTCTTCTTCCGGAAAAAAAAACTTTCACCCATTTTCTACTCACTAGAATGATAAGAAATAATATTAGCTAAGATTTTTCTTCTTTATCAATTAAGTTTAAACAAATTATTCAAAAAGAATGACAAAACATAACATGAGGTTATGTTATAAGAAAGATGTTAACTTACTCACTGATTTGTTATTTTTCGAACATCAAACTTATTTTAACACATACTTCACTATTTATAAAATCAATTGTGATGCATATTGGTTTAATAAAGTGAATTTAAAACTTGTAATTAAAACTTTAAGCTTGAACTGTTTTAAAGCTGTCAATGAATCACTAAAAAGTGAAGTTAGCTATTTGCTACAACAACACCACAGAACACATTACATATTTGTGACATTAATTTATTTTTAAATATTTAAAAATTCATTTAAATCCGTCATTTAATTACTTATGAATCAAATTTTGTTCATTTAAACAATTCATTAATGTAAAAATAATTAATTTAGTATCTAACTTCATAAACGGATTCAAGTTGCTTTTAAAAACGATAGATGGCGCTATATTCTTGATATAAATTTATTATACATTTTACTATTTATGAAAACAATTTTGATGGATACCACTTAAATAAAGTGAATTTAAAGCTTATAATTAAAACTTTAAACTTGAATTGTTTTAAAGCTGTCAAAAAATCACAAAAAAGTGAAGTTAGCTATTTGCTGCAATAACACATTACATATTTATAAGATTAATTTATTTTTAAATATATAAAAAATCATTTAAAACCCTCATTTAATCACTTATGAATCAGATTTTGTTCATTTAAACAATTATTCATTAATGCAAAAATAATTAATTTAGTATCTAACTTCATAAACGGATTCAAGTTGCTTTTAAAAACGATAGATGGCGCTATATTTTTGAAATAAATTTATTAATATAAAAAATCTTAAATAATATAATCTTATTTAACAAAAATAAATTTGGTAATGCTTTAAAGATAATTTAAATAAAAATATCAAGTTAAGTGAAGTTTCGAGATTCAAGAAGACGGATACTGAAGTGAACTCGGAGTCTCCGTACTACGTTCGAAGACGACGACGACGAGATGAAGGTTAATAGGACTTCGGGAGTGCTTTATTGAATCGGCAATTTTATAATGGGTTCGGAGGATCGCTTAATAACAATAAATTGTGCGTAATACCAAAATAAACTAAACTCCGGCGAACGAGCAAACGAGCAAAAGAACGCGAGCTTTAACGGATGACCCTCGAGGGGGTACCCGGATTCTTCATTCCAAGATGATACCAAGACCAACTTTTACCTCAACAAGAAAATAAATATTTGTTTTTCCTTAAGATTTAATTTAAAAATGTATGAATCGTAAAGAATTATCTAAAACTGATGTTAGAAACTCGCTTTTAAGTTTAGAAACTTTTTTAGTTTTTGAATTTCGTTAGTTTTCTCTTTTAAAATGATTTTTTTGACGTGAAATAGCTTCGCACCTATCCTGCAAAACGGTATTAAACGAGCGAAAGTATCCAGCACTTTGGAACCGTATCGCAACATGCGAATGGCGCTTAATTCTTGTCGGTTTTAATTCCCTGCGTAAATTCTGGACGAAGATATTCAATTTCAGTTTTAGTTTACTTTCTCTATCGTCGTTTTCGATAACGCAACAAATATATCTCAAAAACCATTTTTTTTAAGAAAGGGAATGTTAAACGCCAAGAAAAACGAACGAAATAAACTTCTTTTGGTCAGTTTTTTTTTGTTGAAGGTTCTTTATTGGAGTCAATCGCGTTGTAGTTCGGAACGTTAATCGGGCCGTAAAAGTTAGTTATGTGAAAGCTTATAAAAGGCAATCTCCACCCGGATGGTTATTCTGGCTTAACTCACATCCGAAAATCCGGCTGTAGTAGTGAAATATTGAATTGTAATTGAACCTGGGCCTCAATATATCGGTTACAATCCGTATTCCATTTCGTTACTTTAACTCAGACTCGAAAGAAATAACCAATGCTTTTATTGTCATTTCTTTTTAGTTTGTTATTATTTGATAATCTAATTATATCTTATCTTAAATCAAATAAAATTGTAAAAACAATTAAATTAATAATGAAAGAATAAATCTTAAAATTAATAGTGTATAAAATTTAATTTAAAACTGACCATTTCTTGATTCCATACGATAATTGTCCACACGACCAGAAATATATTGAACAATACCATAAAACTCACCATTTCTCAGCTGTTGGGACTGCACGGAACTCTTTGGTTGGAGGAGAGTGCCGTGGCAATCATAAAAGCTTAACGGTAAACGAGATCGCGAAGTGCATTAAAGCGTTATGGTGTTCCCCGGCGTTCTCCTTCGTCGTCGTACGTACACAATAAATAAGAACTCGAGAAAGCTAAAAAACGCGTTTTTCGTAAATTTCAACTTACACAATGTAAACCCACCAAATAAATATTCCATCCCACAATTTTTTTTTACATCTATTAAATGTTTTCTAGTAGTACAACTACTAGTCTTTTATGTGTGGTACCACCAAGTTCTTGAGTGGTAAGATCTATGGGTTTCGGTGGGCGTCACAAAAGCGATACAAGGACACTCGCTCGCAACTAAGTGGATAGGATGTATTAAGTTCCCCTCTTTGAGGTTTATATTTTTTCGGTTTTCTGGGTTCTATGGGTTAGTTAAGGCGTGTATAGGTGGATATTGATGTCGTCCGGGCACTGGATAAATCTTCAAAGTCTTATGTTAGGAAAGAAGTCGTTTGTAGTCTTTATTATTTAAAGACTACAAAAATATTAAAATATTAACTTAAACAGCGACAACTTAAAGCACAACTTTATTGTTTTAAATTTCATTTATTATAAATTAAGACAGCATGATTTCTTAGTTCTAGTGTTAGTTCTAGGTTTAATTGCATAACACTAAATCTAGACCTGGAAACATTAGGGTTTAGCTGCACCTCTTTCAAGGCGGCTGAACTCGAATGATTCTAGTTCTAGGTCTAGTATTAGTTCACTAGACCTAGAACTAGAAAGTCAAAACTAACAATGACTGTTTAAGAACGCTTTATTTATAAAGCACTTAAGGTAAAAAGTGATATCATTATCATTTCCCATTCTTGGTGAGGAATAATAATGTCGCCAATATCCAAATTGGTATGACCTGGGATAATGCCGACGGTTGAGCAGCGCCACAAATGTTGATGGTTTCATCGGGTAAGTAGACAAAAATCAACGATGGCAATTACATTGCAAGCATCTGGTGAACTGAGGAAATTTGTTGGTGTCTCCAATAATCACAGATTCGATGACAATCTAATTTCAGATTCTAATTGTTTCGTGTGAAGATGCTGATGAGCAAGAAGTTCGTCCTGCCTTTGTACCAAATCCTAATTCGGTATCCTTTTCTAATAGCTACCCTAAAGTATAAAGAAATAATTGCAGTCTTTAACAAATGTGTCAATTATTAAACATAATTAGCTACTAAAACATATTAAAACAAATTTTAATGAACTGTACTTATTAAAATAAAACTGTTTATTTTTCTTTAGAAAAACGGCTGCCTTTACGAACACATCCGGTGGGGTGAAGCTTTTGTCGTCGTATACGCGGTAAACGACCGGCATAGTTTTCACGAAGCCCAAGAACTTTTGGGACAACTTTCAAAGCTGAAGCTACCATCATATTACACCAGTTTGCTATTAGGGAATAAACGCGATTTGGATCACTCTAGGTAAGATTTCTTTTTAAAATAACATTGCACAATTGAATTTAAAAATAGTTAAACAAAGGATAATTTCTTATGCATCTCCTCCTTCGTAAATATCCTCGCAATGTCCTCTCTCAAACGGTTGATTTATCAGTTCATTGTTCGCTTTGGAATGCAAATCAATATTCAAAAGTCTTTTAACGATTATGATTCAACTAGAACATTCCTTAATTAATAATCAATAACTTTCTATATTTTTTTTTTTTTTGTCTGAAGGCAAATTTGTGTGGATGATGGTCAAGAACTTTCCCTTCAGTATGGTTGCCAATTTTACGAGGTGAGCGCTGCTGAAAATTTCGCTGGAGTTTCATTAGCTTTTCAATCATTGTTGAGAGAGGCGAGATCGGTACAACTATTGAAAGCGCTACCAATAAGAAGAAAATTAGGGGTGAATAGTGTTTCGAAAGTTCTCGGGAATATATTCGGGAAGAATTCTAAAGGCGATCGTAAAAAACGGCCTTCACTTAGTATTTAATTTCTTTTATTTCTTTTAATTGTAATGAGAAAAACAAGAAGAGGGTTACTAAGAAAGTTCCTTATTAATTTTTTTTAATTTTAAAAAGTGCCTTTGATGGAAAAAATGAATTTATTATTATTAAATTAATTAATAAAAATAAATGGAATAAATTGTGATAATTATGATAATAATAACTTTTAAGGTAGCTTTTAATTTTTAAATTTAATTTATATATTAACTTTAATATTAGGGTAATTCTTCTTTAATTAAATGTTAACTTATTACTTAAAAAATTCCAATTCAAAAAAATGTGATTCATTTAGACTTTATTTAGAGTTTAAGAAGATAATAATTAAAAGGTGATTTTTATTTCATTTTTAAACAAAAAGGGGAACAATTACGTTTATTAAAGGTGTTAAAATTAGATTGAATTTAAAACGGTAACTTGAAGAAATAAAAATCACTAAAAAATTTAATTAATTAATTAATTAACGATTACTTTAAAGTGATGAAAAGACACATTCCTACGCAATACTAAAGTAAACAAATAATTTTAGTAAACGTTTAAAAATTAAAAAGTAAGTTTTACCTGTTAAATCGAAATTTATAAAGAAAAATCGAAAATGTTGTTTATTTAAATAATGATTTTTGTGTAAATATATTTTTATATAAAATACAAATGATACATTCTTAAATGTTTTATATTTTTATTTTTAAATATATCAAATAAATTATTTTGAAAATTAAAAAAAAAATTAGTGGCGACACCTTTTATGTAATATCGAAACTAATCTGTTTAACTCAACCCAACAAAAAATTTTAAGGAATCTTAAAAAATGCTAATATTGTTTTATTAAACAAAGACTATTTAATTTTTTATTAATAAAATTTTTAAATTGAATAATTAATAATTACTACAAATATTCTAATCTACTTATTAATAAATCTATCATATAGTTATTCTACCACTTGACATTTCTATCAATAGTCATATTTTTATGTACAATATAATTACAAAAATTTTTGTTATTTTGTGTAACGAAAACCTGAAAAAAGGAAATCTTAATATATACATAACTCGTTATGGGGCACTTTCACTGTAAGTACTTTAAAAAACTTCTTTGCAACGTCTTTAATCAATTTCCATTGATTTAAATCTGAAAATCAAAATTTAACATCAAATCACTCAACATAACCTGAAAAAAAAAATTACTTTTCATCGAATTAAACTGTTAGTTAAACAAAAAACCATGATTAGTTGTTAAATATCAACAGAAGCAACCGGAAGAGCTGAATTTAAATGATCCGGATATTCCTCTGGGTAATCTTCTTCGCCCTCTTCATAATCACCTTCGTTTCCAATTTCTTCGGGTGGCTCTTCATCGTCGAAATGTGAATTGGTAGCCGGAGTAGATGGTGAATATGTTAAAATATCCTTTAGGTTAGAAAATTAGTTTTGTTAAATTTATTAATTTAAAAATTGAACATTTTGGTGCCATCTATATTTAAATAGCCTCACTTTTGGTGGTCGCCATCCGCATCCTGGTAAAGGTAATCCATCGGCTCCTAGAGGGCACGGTGCGTCTAAACCGGGAACTCCTTGATCGCCTTTGTCTCCTTTGTCACCTTTCCGGCCTCGTTTTCCTAAAGGACCCTAACAAAAATTCAAATTGTATAAAAACAGCGATTTCAAATAATGAAATACTTACAGGTTCACCTTTAAATCCTTTATCACCCTTAGGACCCTACAAATAAATAGAAAAATATTTTATTATTATTTTTTAAATATAATAGAATGGTTTTTTGGGTATAAAAAATAAATGTATGAAATGATTCCATGCTAAATAAGCTTTTCTTATGCAGTTTTAAGAAAAAAAATAAAGTATTAAGAAAAAAATAGGTTAGGATTATTAAAAGTGAGGTTAGAATTTGTTATTAAATACCTCTTGTCCTGGAATTCCATCTGTACCCTAAAATGTTAAACAATTTTAGTTAGTTAGTGTGTAATAAGGTGACTATTTTTAATATGTTTTATTAATATATGCATTTTGGTCATTTTTTTTTAATAAAATATTCAAAATTCATTTAATTCGTTAATTTATGTAAATAGTTTTGGATTCGTCCATCTTGATTTTGAGCGAAGATGACTTGATTGTTATAACATCTAGGTATGTCGGCTCTATTTATAGATGTTTTGATTATCTATGTAGTGCAATATTTATTTTTTTTAGATCACCGTATAATTATGAATAAAAGTTATTACCAAAAAAAGCGAGAGGGAGATGAAGATAGTGTAATAATACTGCTTTCTGGACTCTGAAGTAGATACACGGAAGAATAAACGTTTAAAAACAAGTTTCAAGCTAGTTGGGTATTTCACTTAAATTTTATAACATTATATTTCTAGCAGAAGACTAGATTTTGTTGACAGAAGATGAGGCACTCTTAGTACAAGGCTAGATATTATGGACAGAAGACTAGATACTGTTGATAGAAGATGAGGTACTGTTAATAGAAGACTAAATACTGTGGATAGAAGACTAGATACTATTGGCAGAAGTCCAGATACTGTTAGCAAAAGACGATACACTTTTGGCAAAGCACTAGATATCGCTCATGGAATATTATTATTATTTTTATTGAATTAAAAGTAGAACTAACACTAAACATAGAACTAGAAACATTTGGCTTTAGCGTACATCTCTTAAGACGGCTAAACCCAAATGTTTCCAGTTTTAGTACTAGTGTTAGTTCTAGTTTTAATTGTTATTCAGCGCTAGATTGTTGTATATTTTTATTGAACTAAAACTAGAACTAATATTAAACCTAGAACAAGAAACATTCGGGTTTAGCCGCCTTGAGAGACGTATTAAAACCCTAGGAAGGCTAATAAATTATGACCAATATTTAGTTACACAGTATAATCTTGAAGCGATACGGAGTAAGTAAGATTTGGTCACCTTAATGTTAAATAACCTAAAAATGCATTAATTACTGATTAATTAATAATTTTTAACTTACAGGTAATCCAGGATCACCCCGTTCACCTTTCGTTCCTGGTTCACCTTGAGCACCCTAAAAATATCCCAAAAAAAAATTAAAAATTACATAACCTTAGTATGTACCATTTTTCGAAATGTTAGGTTTTGAACCTTTTTTTAAGTACTCACTTTCATTCCATCTAATCCAGGCGGTCCCTGCATTAAGAAAAACGATTAAAGAAAAAAGAAAAACTAAAAAAAATTAAGAAAATTAAAAAAGAAAATAGACAAGTAGGATTTTTCTTGGTTAGGATTTTTTTGATCTTTTAAAATGCAACAAGATGCATGGTTTTTCTTGCTTAATTATGCTTTTTAGAAAATTGCTTATTAAAATAATTTTCAAAAAAATCATGCGAGTTAGATTAAAAAGACGAAATTAAAGAAAAGAAAAGTTAAAGTGTTTTGAGGTTAAGAGAAAATGTTTATTAATGTTTTTTTAAAGAAATAAATAAAAAAGTTTGTTTCTTTTAAAATAATTACAGCACATGCACATACATTTATTTTCGCTTTTGGTTGTTTTTTAAGCTTAAAATACATAAAATATGTTACACTTTTTTTTGTTTAAAACGCGTTATTTTTTTTTTTTTCGATTTCAGTCGCAAATTGTTTTAATTTATAATCTTAAAACTAAATTTTTAATTAATACATCATCGTAGGTTCTAATACTTGTTAATTTGTTTTTAAAAACATCTATAAAAATGAGGTCTTAGAACATATATTTTTAATTATTATAATTTATATTACACATAGGGACTCGGAAAAACTTTTTTACAATAATTAAATAATAAATTATTCGTTATTATTATTAATTATCGTTATTACTTAATGTATAAAATTGGCTTCACTAGATTATAAATGGACAATAAGTTTTTTTTACTTTTTTAAGTACTATAATTGGACGTAAAACTACAGTTAAATCGAAATAACCTCATAAAATTTTTCTTTAATTAATTAAAATTTTTAAGTTACTTCAATTCGACTATAAGTTATTTTATATATATATTTTTAAATCACGGCAAGTTTTTTTTTAAATATTTTTTGCGATATACATACAGCGATTTTTAGGGTATACAACAAAAAAAATTACAAGGTTATGTTACAATAGAACTTATTTAATTATTTTCGTTTCTTCTTTCCTTAAAAATCTTCTCAATCTTGAACTTTTATGTTTTTAGGTCGATTTTTCCCTTAAACCCACGATTTAATTTATTTACTTTGAATCTTATTCGTTGTTAACAGCAACAATCCAATCGATGTAACAATAAAATTAATTTAAAATTAATTTAAAAAAATCTCCTTAAAAACTAGTTAAAACTTATTACTTAAAACGCTTTTTTAAAATTTCTTTTTCATTTGTTAAATCACACTGCATTGTTTCTGGTTAACGGTTAATATTCGCATATTGAGGCCTTTTCTGTTGCTTTTTTAATTAATTTTTTTAGGAGTTATAAAACGGCTTCCTTACCATCGGCCCCGGTTTTCCGTAGTCTCCGGGTCGACCACTTTCACCCCTCAAACCCATTGGCCCCTAAATGAAATTTTTGATGAGTAATTTTTTATTAATTTATTCTATTTTTTGAAATGTCTTCGTTATTTTTTTTTAATAGAACTTACGGGTAATCCCATTGGACCTGGATCACCTCTAGCTCCCTTTTCACCCTAAAAATATTTCAAAATAAATTTAAATTAAAAAAATAATTTACTTTTTAAAAATTGAAAAGAAAAAAACTAACTGGTTCTCCTTTTATACCATCCATCCCTCGATCTCCTTTGATTCCGGGTGGACCTTGGAGTCCCGGAGTTCCTTGAGGACCCGGAGGTCCTGGGGGACCCATTACCTAAGTAATTTGTTATGTTTTAATAAGACATCTCGATTTTAATCGGGTGAATTCTGAAGGAAATCTTTAAATTATCTCAATATTTCGGGTTTACTTACAATATCTCTATCCCCATTAATTATTTCTCCGGTTCCATCTCCCTGGAACAGTATAGAGAAAGAATAAAAAAAATAAAGCTTTTAAAAAAGCTTTTACGTAACTATAACAAGATTAAACATATTTTTTAATTAAAACAAACAACATTTTTTTAAATAACTAGCATGAAATTCGTTATTTTTCCTTTATATATATCCTTTTAATTAGACGTATAACAAATATAAAACTTCAAAATATAATTGTTACCAACATGAATCGCTAAAATAACTATGACCTCCCTTCTTAGTGACTTTTTGTTGAACCAACTTAACGTCATTTTGACATCTTCAGCTTCATAATTGTGGTGCGTAGTTGCAAAACTCATCATAATGTAATGGTAATTCAAAGATTTTTCAGAGAGGCCGAATACTGGAGGAACATAGGGAGACACAGCTTGCACGACGAGACTAACAAGAGCAGCCAAGCCAAGCAAAAAAGGCACAGGGGTGGAAAACTTAACATTGAAAAACTGAAAATAGTGGAAGCGCAACACGGATTGATGAGAGAAATAGAAAAAAAGATAAATGAAGCCACTGGAGACGATAATAGCCAGACGACGGACAACCAGTAGAGTATTATTAAGACAGCAGTGGAAGAGGCAACGCAGAGTCTTGAAGAGTCGCGGAGAACCCCAAAAGAACGACTTGGTTTGACGATGCATGTGCCGAAGTATTGCAAGAAGAAATGAGGAACACAATAAATTCATAGCAAGATCAACAAGAGAGAGGGGAACTATTCAAGAAGGCGAGAAGGGAGGCGAACAAGATACGCAGACGAAAAAAACGGGAATACCAGAACAACCAAATACTGAACATGGAAAGTAATTTTAAAGCCAATGATATTCTTAGTTACTGTTTTACTATTAGTTTAATTCTTTCTGCAACAACACATGGTTTTGCGATGGAAGTTACCGTTACTCCATGTCAAGAAGGCTTTAAATCTAAAAAAAACGAAAAGAAATCCAAGTACAGTGATACAATAAAGTCTACATACACCCCAGAAAATGATAATATCTCACCTCCTCAAATGTAATTCAATGAATTTTTTAAATGAAGGATGTTAGAAGTTTATATTATTTTAATACAAAGTCGAAACAGTTCGACTTGTGCTACGAAGTGTTAGTTCTAGTTTTAGTTCAATAAAAATATACAACACAGTGATATCTTATGCTAACTAGCGCTACTTACCACTGTCTCTAGAACTAACATTAAACATTCGGGCTTGATCGCACGTCTCTCAAGACGGCTAAACCCGAATTATTCTAGTTCTAAGTCTTGTGTAAGTTCTAATGATAGTGCTAGTGTAAAACTAGGTGACCTTGGAAGTTTTTAATGATTATCAACTAGTTTTCAGTCATTTTGAGCAACATGGATTGTTTAAAAACTAGTTGTTAATCATTTAGACAAGTATAAAATTATGCTCAACCAATTTTCAATGATTTTGAATAACATGAGATAGCTATGAACCTAGTTCGAAACATTTTGCTGCCTTATAAAGCAATTTTGGACAATGTTGGTGCAGTTTTCAGTTATTCTGGGCAACCTAAACTTGCTATAAACTAGTCCTTATACATGTAGAGAAGTTTTTAATGATTATCAACTAGTTTTCAGTCATTTTGAGCAACATGAATTGTTTAAAAACTAGTTGTTAATGATTTAGACAAGTATAAAATTATGCTCAACCAATTTTCAATGATTTTGAATAACATGAGATAGCTATGAACCTAGTTCGAAACATTTTGCTACATTATAAAGCAATTTTGGACAATGTTGGTGCACTTTTCAGTCATTTTGAGCAACCTGGACTTGCTATCAACTAGTCCTTATACATTTAGACAAGTTTTTAATGACTATCAACTAGTTTTCAGACATTTTGAGCAACATGGATTGTTTAAAAACTAGTTGTTAATGATTTAGACAAGTATAAAATTATGCTAGTTCTAGTTCTTGGTCTAGCGCTATATAATAATTAAAACTAGAACAAACACTAGACGCACGGCTAAGTTAGACGTCTTCCGACGCACGGCTAAACCCGTATCTTTTTAATTCTATGTCTAGTGTTAGTTCTAGTTTTACACTAGCACTGTTACTATACAGAACTAACACTATACCTAGAACTAGAATCATTTGGGTTTAGCCTCAAGTCTCTAAAGACGGCTAATACAGTGTTAGTTCTAGTTTTACACTAGCACTGTTACTATGTAGAATTAACACTCTACATAGAACTAAAAATATTCAAGGTTAATGTTTTTTATTCTATCTTCTTTGTCATTCAAAATGAGCCCAAACATGATACGTTTAATTCCAATATTACTCGAGATATAAGCAACTTCCGGTATTTTTATTGAGCTATAATGGACAATGATATACTTTTTTTTAGGACTGTATGTAGACTTTTTTGAGTTGAAGATATGATTATGTTTTGTGTTCCCCTTGATTAATAATAGCTTATATAGTTTTTATGTAAAATATAGAAATAATATGGGCTTCTTACATGTTTTGTTAAAAAATTTCATTGAATTACATTTCGGGAACTGAGATATTATCATTTTCCGGGCTGTATGTAGACTTTATTGTGTCACTGTATGTGGAAACGCAATCAATTGAAAGTTAGGTTTGTTGGAGGTTATGACGTATTATGACGTATGTGCCCAACGGATTAAAACGTGTACAGATCTTAATGATAAAACAGTCCTTATTACCAACTGCGTATTCATTAATTAAGAGCTAAGGCTTTTTACCAGTTACCAGGAAGACTAAGAAGATTTATTGATCTTATCATTCGATTGCCAGAAGAACCAGCCTCTTCTAAAGATTTCCAAACATTTTCCAAAAGCACGCAGCAAAACTCACATTCTCCCAACAAAAAATTCATGAATTTAGTTGTCTTCAACCAAGTTTTTTCAGTATACCATCGGAAAAGTAATTTTCTTTCTCTATTTTTCATAATAAATGTGTTTGTGTAAGCCACACATTTTTGCGATTTCCCAAAAACTGCTTATGACGGATAATGTGTGTTTTGCAACTACACACCTTAATTAAAGAAAACTATTCCTCATTATTTTTTTGAACACCACGTTATTTCGTCGTAGTAAGTCGTAGTCAAACTCAGAAATACAATTAAAAAGATTAATCAGAACTAGAATTAATTGCTCTATTTAATAAATTAATTAAATAAAAGAAAAGTTAGAAAAGAATAAATATTTACCTGTCGTCGCCTCAATTTCTTGTATTTCTAAAAATAAATATTAAAAATGTAATAATTAATTGATTGAATTAAAAAAAAATAACTTACAGACTCTCCCTTTTCCCCTTTTTCTCCTTTTTGTCCTGGATAACCTGGTGGTCCAGGAAGTCCCGGTGGTCCCATTAACCCCGGGGGTCCAATATCTCCGTATTCACCTTTTTCACCTTTGGGACCAGTCATTCCCTAAAAAGTCGCCCAAATAAAATTGAATCAACTAATTTAAAATAAAAATCTTACTGGTAATCCAGGTGGACCTTGCGGTCCAGCTTCACCATTTATTCCCGTTTCGCCGATGGGTCCTTGGGCGCCTACATCACCTTTAGGGCCTAAAACGGAAAATAAAATACAAAAATTTAAAAAAAAATGGAGTTATTTATTAAAAATTGAGAGTTCCTAAAAGAGTTATAAAAATACCTATTTCGCCTTTACCACCTTTTGGGCCTTCATCGCCTCGGTCCCCTTTATCCCCGGGGAGTCCTGGGGGGCCCCTACTTAAAATGGACGCGTCCAAACCTTCAGGACCCTATAGATCAGATCAAACCACAAAAACTGAAAAAATACTTCTACTAAAAATCAAAAAAAATTTAATCGCTTCGTATTGAGTCTTTTTTTAATTAAAATCATTAACTAATTAATACACAAATTATTTAAAAAATACACAAATACTTACATAAAAGCATCCAAACATAAATAATTAAAAAAATTAAAAACGACAATAATTAAATTAAATTAATAAAATAGAACGTTTTAAAATCGAATAATTTAAAAACTAATTATATCGATTTTATTACATGTTAGTATAATTAATGAAAAGCTAGTTAAAATTAATTAAAATTAGTTCTAAAAAAATAAAAAGCTTAAAATCTACGTTTAAATTAACTTAAATACAAATTAAGTGTTAACAACAAATTGCGAACGTTAGAAGCGACAAATCAAACAAATCGAGCGTTAAGAAAAAGCTTTATTTAAATCGTTAGAAAGCATTAGGAATTAAAAAGAAAAAAGGCATGCATCCAAAAAAACATTTTTATTTTCGATTTTTTAAACAAATCAAAGAAATAAAAGATTACAATACAAAGTCAAAGAAATAAAGTAACCAAAAACCCAATAAAAAAAAATAAAAAAAGATCATCCGAAGCTCTATTTATGCAAATGAGAAGTGTGTGGTTTGATTGAAAAAGAGTTCATCAAAGTATCAAAAGTTTATTTGAAATTTTTAACATTAAAAATATTTTTGGAGCGAAATTTTCGATACTTTGATGATTTTTTTTGAAGGTTTGGATAAAAGAGAAATATTCTCGTTATATTTTTTTAATAAACGTTACCCTTTTTCCGCGTCTCCCACGCGCCCCTTTGTCCCCGGGGAGTCCTGGAGGTCCGACGGGACCCGGTTCGCCTTTTTCACCTCACAAATTAGCATGATTTGTTAAAAAATTAAGTTTAACGAAATAATAAAACAATAATAAAGTAGATTTATTTAAATTTAAATGAATTACCGGGTGGTCCTGGAGGTCCTGGAGGACCTTCGATGATCCCCGTTGGAAATTGATCCCCGGTTAATGTCGTTGTTAATCCTCTTTCGCCTTTATCACCTTTGTCGCCCTTAAAAAAATTAATAAATTAAAAATATATTTATTACTAAATATTCTAAATTTAGTTTTAAAGCAAAAACACCATAAATCTTTTTAATTTGTGAGTTTAAATCATTAATTTAGGAATTAATTTACTAAAAAATTAATAAATGTTAGTTTGTTTATTGTTTGTTAAAGGTGATAAAAGCCCCTTTTTTATGATTTATTTGTGCTCACAGGGAGTCCCATGTTTCCGGGAAGTCCGGTGTAACCCTGGGGGCCAACGTTGCCTTTTTCGCCCTAAGGAAAATAAAATCACCACAAAAACGACTTACAAAAGTATTTTTTAAGGAATTTTTTTTTAAATAAAATGTTTTCGCAATTATTTTTTCCCCTATTTCCACCTCTTCCAACTTCCCTCTCGGTGAAACAAATTAAGTTCCTCCACGTTTCTCATCCAGCTTAATCCAGGTAGAGATTTAAACTTATGAAAGCTCTAGCTGGCACCGGTTTCTATTGCAATTGCCCCCGTATGTACCAAGCGCAATTAAACGTAAAGTTCTAAACTTTACAAAAGTTTCAATCCAACTCAAACATTTTAAAACTTTATTCTTAAAGATTTTATTAAAAAAATAAAATAAAAAATACCTTAGGTCCTATTAATCCATCGATTCCGGGTGGTCCAACCGGTCCAATTGGACCTTGTTCACCTCGTTCGCCCACTGGTCCAGGTTCACCAGGTATTCCTTGTCTTCCATCGTGTCCCGATGGGCCTTCGGGACCTGGAGGACCCGCAGGACCCGGCGGACCAGGTTCTCCAGGTTCACCCTATTTTTTGTTAATAAATTTTAATAAATTATTTCAAACTAAACGCAAGAAATGAAAGCATTTTTGAAGCTTCATGCACTTTAATTAAATAAACAAAAATTAATAAACAGGATTTAAATGGATCTACAGAGTGAATGAATTAAAACTAAATTTGAACTAAATTTTAGTGGGTTTACAAGAAAATACCAAGCACTTTGCGCGTTCTCTTCGAATTATAAAGCATCATCGAATAATAATAGTAATAAATAGAGAAAGAGAAGATAATAAATTTAATAAGAAAGAGTCTTGAATCTATTTTACGTAATAAAGTGCGGCTTTCTTTAATAAGCAGTTAAAAAGTTAACAAAAAAAAAGAAAAAACAATAAGGTTTCGATGCCGGTGTCGTTGTTTAATAAGATAATAATAAGTGATGAATATTTTTTTTGCTGGTTGCTAAAAGAGCAAAAACTCACTTTAAGTGTGATGATAGTTTCAGCGGAAACGTTATGGCCTCTTTCTTGTAAGCCCTAAAAATAACTACTTGTGAGTAAAAAACGACGATAAAAAGAGAAAAATTAAAAAAGGTGGAAAAATCATAATTTAGGCGAAATTTAATAATAACAACAAAAAGAAAAATACAACGAAAAAAATTATTATTATTTTTTTTTTGGTTTTTGATTCCTCCACATGCGCCAGGAAAACGCTACAATAAAATTAATCAATTAAAAATTGGCTATGGTGTTAAATAATTTTAATTAATCTACAAAGATAAAAAAACCCCTAGATTTCAAATAAAAATAAGAAAACGCCCCAATAACAAAAAGAAGAGACAAAAAGTGGACAAGTTCTAGACAAAAAAAATTAAAGAAAATTTCGGTAGACTTTCTCCTCTGGATCTCACCTTGACGGCGACTATTTCAGCATAACCCAATGTGCCCCCACGTAACGTTGTCACCGATCGTTTTAAACCCTGCAATAAATTATTTACATAAAAAAGAAACATTTTTAAAAGTTTATGACCATAATTTATTAATATTAAGATATATTGATTCAATCTCCTCATCTTTACCAAGTGTTCTCTTTAAATTGCAATGAGTTGTATTGGCTTATTTGGAGATGCATTACTTTAGACTTGGGTTACTTAGTGATTGTGTTACTTTTGGGTTTAGTTCCTTTGTGCTTGAGTTAGCTGGAGTAGGATGAGATTGTCAATCTCAGTTGGGTTGGGTTCGGTCGCTTTGAAATTAAGTTCAGTAAGGTTTCCAATTAACTTGGCTTACTTGCATATGTATGAACACACTTTGAACTTCTATTAATTGAAGTAACCCTAGATATAGATCTAAAGATAACGACGCTGAACATCTTGTCAAGGTTGATGCCCAAAAGCATGCCAAAAATCATTAATGTCGAGTTGGTCTGTTCTGGATTTAGCTCAGGTTGGTTTGGAGCTGGCTTAGTATTGGATAAGATTGCTATAGGATTACTTTGGCATGTTTTGGATTTGTGTTGCGTTGTTTTGCCTTAACTGTAGGCTTGGTAGGTGTAGCGTGGGATACACTTTGAACTTTAATGAGTTGAATTTGCTTAAAGTGCATTGTACACAAAGTTCGTTTAGGAGAGATGCTACTTTTTTTGAAGCTGTGGATGACCATTTACTTTGTAATTATTTCCGATGTACATATTATAGGACACCTGTATATATGGCTTTGTATTCACAAAATGTCGGTAAGTCAAATCAAAGAAATTAAAATAAAATCTCCCTCAGTCTGTTGAATTATGAAATTGGTATCAAAATAAACTATATTTAATTTTCCTTTTGTGAAAAATAATTTGGATTGAACGAAAAAAAAGCTCAAAAAGAAAAAAAATAATAATCATAACACACACAGTACTTACCCTTCCGGGAAGCTAAAATAAATAAGCAAAATGAAACTTATTGCGAGACGATAATCAAAAATAGTGTGAATTAAAACCCGAAAATTTGTGTGGATCAAAGACTAAATATAATAAAATAATTTTTACCTTTACAGCTGAAAGAACGTCGAATCCCGGATTACCCACTTCACCTTTTTGGCCCTTATCTCCAGGTCGACCCTAAAAATTAAAATAAAAATCACATCAAAATCGAGGTTTAAGAATCGGTTAAAAATTAATTTGTTAATTCATTTAATTAGTTTTTTAGTAAACTACTTTTATTACTTACAGGTTCACCCTTCGGGCCATCAAGTCCAATAGGGCCCTACAAAAACTTTATATTAGTACCTCAACAACTAAAAAAAACTCAAATAAGCCAATAAAACCAACTAATCATCCATCTACATCATCTCTAAAATCACTCCACAATTAGTTTTTAACTTACAATGAATGATGATTATAAAATGATGTTAGTAAAGTTTAGTATAAAGTTAGAGAAGCTACTGTTAGTTGGCGCAACTCGAAACAGGTCCAAACTACTCAAGTTATAACTAGAAAATGTCAATCGTTAACTCTCACAATATCGGTGGTTATTAAAGTTAATAAGATTAGAAATTTTGGGCGATAAACGTTATTGGTTAATTAAATTTTCGATTATTATTGAGAAGAAAAACAAACCGGAAATCCTGGATAACCGCGAATACCAGATTGACCCTGAAACAAAACTTTTAGGTGAAGAAAAAAAATTAAACTACAAAAATAAATAATTGACTCTTGACCATCAACGAAAAAATGATACCTCTCCATTTAGAAGTTAAAGAAGAAATTAAGAAAAAGCTTGAAGCTTAAGCTTAAAATAAAAACGTGTTAGAATTTCGATTAATTTTTAATTTTGAATCAAAAAGGTGCATCCTGTACATACCATGACAATTTCGCAAAAAAGAAAGGTTTAAAAAGATTTTTTTTAATGGAGAGATATCATATTTAACCATAATAACATCATAAATAATTCTTTTTGAAGCTTTAAATATCGATTTCCGTCGTGTTTTGAGGTCGTAAATAATGAGAACGTAGGAAGCGATACGTTTAGTTCGCCATAAATTCATCTAATATAATGGTTTTGCCACGCAAAGACCGTTTATCCCTCGTTAGCGGACAGATTTGTAGTTTTGCTAATATCTCAAAACGCCAATTAACATTAGCCCTAGAGGCAACTAATTTTGCTTTCATTCCGCGTTTAAAAGAAACAGCAACAGAAATAATAGAAAATAATGGTAAAGATGATGATTTTTAAATAAAATAAATTATAATTATAAGGAAATTTTAATACCGGAAAGCCATTTTTGCCAGGCGTACCGGACGCACCCTGATGAAAAAAGAACAAAATACAAAAAAAGTAGGTAAATAAGATCTACTTAAAAAAATTAAAACAGATTTTTATGTTTTTACAGCTATTCTTTTTGGTGGGGTTTTTGTTAAAGGGTTAACTTACCGGCGATCCGGCTTCCCCGGGGTCACCTTTTTTGCCTTTTCTACCCCTTTTTCCTGGAATTCCAGGAGGTCCGTGAGGTCCAGGTGGTCCTGAAATCAAACAAACTATTAGTATGTGTAATTTAAATAACAATACGAATTAATACGAAGTGAACAGAAGGAAAGACCTGAAACTATAACAGTATGCAAATATACTATCAAGAATGTTCAAGCATTTAAAGATCTAGAAACGAATCTAACTAGAAAACGATGCGTCTCCCAGTGAAAATACTTTTAAAATGAAATAGGAAGGTTTAGGATTCACAAGTTTTATGGAAGTAACCTTTGTGGACATCCTATATAACATTGATCTCATTGTTACATATTTTCAAAAGTGATCTTAAATGATTTCTTATCATGACATTGCAGTATTTACCAAATTTTATCGTTCCAAGACAAACCATATTGAATATGTTTAATTTTAATAATCTTGAATATGGTTATCTTAGCCATTTATGGGATTAGATCAAAAATGTTTACACGAATCGTCATCATTTTTACTCTAGTATTAGTGGTTAAAATTAGACACAAGTTTCAAGCCACTTAGGCATTTTACTTAAATTTCATAACATTATATTGCTAGTAGAAGAGTAGATACTGGTGGTAGAAGATGAGGTACTGTTAGCAGAAAGCTAAATACTGTAGGCAGAAGACTAGATACTCTTATCAGAAGTCTAGATACTGTTGATATTGCTAATAGAAAATTATTATTGTTTTTATTGAACTAAAAGTAAAACTAAACTCTACTTTTAGTTAATATAGTCTTCAGACGTACTGCTAAACAGGTTTTTATTTACTTGTTTTGTATACATAATAGTGTGTGTATACATTGTTTTCATATATAAATAACCATTTTATAAATTTTAAATGCCAACCTAATTCTGTCATCCACAGAAACCCCAATACATTCCTCTCAAAATCCAATTCGAAATCTCGCAGGGTTTTACTGACACCTGCCACTTAACATTCACCGTTAATAATAATGTCCACTCCATCAGCATCCCCTTAAAATATAAACGATCTTCATCGCGGGTCGGTGTTAATCCGGAAACATTAAAAAGCACTTTTATCTCTTTGCAGCAATTTAAAAGCAAAGAGCTTTTAAATTTTAACTCCCATCTTTTAGTCATCGTAATAATTAACGGGTTCGGTTTACAAAGAAAACGAAAACCACCCTCGACTTAGTCGGCGGGGGTTTAAATCTAAAAGGGGAATAATTCACTTAAAAGGGGTTGACAAGGGTCACGAAAACGCGACGCAGGTCTTCGTTCGCCCGGATGTGATTAATTAGCCCCTACATGGAGTTGTTTTGCCGCTGTCCGGTTTCGTTTCGAACGACAGAATACAGGGGTTTACAAAAAAAAAGGAAAGTTTCAAACTTAATTAAGTTTTAAAAAAAGGGTTAGACAATGTTTTCGGAGAATTTTAAAACTCTCTTAAGTTTTTATAATATAACCAAACATTTTTATATACACTCTTAGAAAAGGAAAACCTAGTTATATAACTTAGTTAAAATTTAAAAAAAAACGAGCAACTTGGTTATATTATTACGAGTCGCCACCAGTATGCTTATTAAGCGGGAAAATCAGCAGAATTGGCTCTACACAACTTAGTTGGTAGAGTATCCAACGCTGCAGGATAAAGAAATCTTGGTTTGTGCGTTTCTGGATATAGAGGGATACCACAATCTCTTGAAAGAGCTGCTCTTGACAGGGGAGTGGAAGCAACTATAGCGGGTTGGATCCGCAATATGCTAGATAGTAGAATAGTTTCTACTTCACTCCACGGTGATACGATACGCTTCAGGCCGGGGGTGGCTGCCCGCAGGGAGGGGTGTTATCTCCCCTGTTTTGGTCCCTCCTAGTTGACGATCTGATTGCGATAGTCGAAGCCGTTGGTGTGGAAATACAAGCTTATGCTGATGATATTGTCGTTATGGTCAAAAGAACCTATTTGCCGAGGATATCTAAAGTCTTCCAGGTGACCCTAGATACCATTTGCGCTTGGTGTAAGGGAGAGAACCTCTCAATAAACCCGCAAAAGACAATTGTTGTGCCCTTCACCAGGAAGCGAAAGTTGGATGAACTAATCCGCCCAACTATCCAAGGTGAAGAAATTCCTTTCTCAAAGGAAGTCAAATATCTAGGAGTAATTCTAGACAAAACCCTGTCATGGAATGGAGATTTGCAGAGAGTTTTGCACAAAGCTAGATTATCCTTGTGGACTTGTCGGAAAATATTGGGGCCCTGAAAGACTGTACTGGCTCTATGTGACTGTGATTAGACCTATGATCACATACGGAGCAGCAGCCTGGTATAGGAAAGTCCGACAGACTTCAGTTATCAGTAAACTTTCACGAATTCAACGAGTAGCTGGATTGGCAATCTCTGGTGCGATAGGCACAACGCCAACTCTAGCAATGGAGGTTCTGCTTGGCCTATCTCCTCTGCATTTGCATATAGAGAAAGTGGCTAGAACAACCATTTACAGATTTAAGCAATATGCTCAAAACTGTTCCGACATGTCCTACCAATGGGCTGCGGAAGACATTATAAGCACTGATACTGTGCTATCAATGCCGTCAGATTTGGCGGTATCACTATCAGTGATTAATGCTCGATACCAGATTGTACTGCCTGAGCGGCAGTCCTGGATCGAAAATGAAAATTCTCTGGTTCGGGCAGACATTTGCTTGTACACAGATGGATCAAAAACGCCTGAAGGGGTAGGAGCAGGAGTATACTGCCAGACACCTCGAATTAAGCAAGCCTACAGCCTGGGTACGTACTGTACTGTATTCCAGGCGGAAGTATTTGCTATTGACATGGGTGCTAAAATCCTTCTTGAAAGAGGGGTGAAGAACATGACAGTACGAATTTTCTCAGACAGTCAAGCCGCTCTCCAGGCGCTGCAAGCCGTGAAAACGGTGTCGGCTCTGGTTAATGATTGTAAGAGAACATTAAACACACTGAGTTGTGATAACAGAGTCTCTCTGATCTGGGTCCCGGGTCACTCTGGGGTTGCTGGCAATGAAGCGGCAGATAAGCTAGCACGAGATGGCAGCGCTGAAGCGTTTGTGGGACCGGAACCAGCAGTTGGTGTATCATTTGCGATGGCCAAATATAGGATTGGACTGTGGGCTGAAGAGAGACTTCGCCTACTGTGGACCAGTTCTCCTGGAATGAGACATGCTAAGGTGTTTATTAACATCGCCACTGTCAAACCCGGGAATATTTTAGGACTTGCCCGTAGTAGCATAAAAGTTCTAATGGGTGTTTTTACTGGGCACTGCCGATTAAAAGCACACCTCAACTTGTTGGGTTTAGCCGACGATGTTGAATGCCGACTATGTGCGGAGGAAGCAGAGACGGTTGAGCATGTTTTATGCCACTGCCCTGCCGTTAACCGTATCAGATTCTCGATTTTTGGGTCGCAGTTTATCTCCTCAAAAGATCTGAATGACCTTTCGCCGAGCAAGGTATTAATGTTCGTTAAGAGCATTGGACTGCACGGTGAAATTTGATAACGGTATCTATCGGGGTACAATAGATCCTTAGGGTCGCGGTGCAAGGTTGGTTGGTCCGCCTACCCGATATGTATTCTATGTAATGTAATGTATATTATTACATTATCTTTCATTCCAATGATGTTGGTTATAAACACTGCCCAGATGATTGCAACTTTACGGAAATTTCATTACCTTTCTTCTGAAGTCAATATTTCTTAAAACTCTGTCTTATGTTAATGTGAAAAGCATTTAATAGGATCATTTTGAATATCTTAACCCCCCTATTTTTCTTCTCAACCACCCACTCACTCAGGACATAAACCGCACACGATCCCGAGAATCTCTTCACGTGTGCTATGTTCATCTCCATGCGTGCCCTTTTCAATATTTCATAAGGTCGACGCCAAGGCAGGTGGTGTAGGTCTAAAACGGTCGTTCCAAAGATCGTTTTATGGGGTCGAATTGTCATACATATATGCAATACCGCCAGCGCATGCAATAAAGTAGCTTAAATTTATCGTTTTTGTAAAAAAAAACGAAATTAAAGACATTTAATCAAAATCGTTTTATTTGTTTTTCTTTTCTCATTTTTTACCCCTTAAGGGCTTTCCTCCAATTTGTATTTTAATGATCTATTTAAAAGGAGAACAAAATGTCCAAAGCATTGATCGAAATAATTTAAATAAAAAATGGGAATACGAACGAGGTTCAATCAATATTTATTTACTCGCGAGGGTTGTTTTTATTATTTATAGCGTTTCCCCTGGTTCCACATCAATCAAATTCTTTTCCACACATCGCTTTTTGTTTCCGCTTTTTGTACGTGACGTGTTTAATTATTTATGGGGGGGTTCAAAAACATAGATTTCGGTAAAACGTTTTTCTCTTCCAAATTAAGATCTATTCTCCTTCAAATCCTCCCCGATGTATTTAGTGAAACATTTATATGCACCCCTTTTAGATCGAAACTTTGCACCCGTGTTTATCATGCAAATAGACACTGTCGGTTAACCAACCCTCGGGCGTAAATTTCAAATACACACCCCCTTAAAGAGTAAAGATTAAAAGAAAATTATTGAGGATTTCTTTGTGATCAATTTATTTCCTTTAGAAAAACTTTTTCAAAGCAATGTTTTTGACATCATTAGATTTTTTCATCTCTTTTAAAACTTTAATAACTTTTATAAAACTCGAGTTAGTTATCTATCCAGTTATCCATCTAGTTACTAAAATGTGATTTTTCAAAGAACCCAATTACCCCTCTTTTTTCTCTTAACTTTTTCCTCTTCGTATTACCTCTTCGTGACCGGATGTTCGTGTTCATTTGAAAATAGATAATCTAAACATCCCACGTGTACAAGAAAATGAATGAACGAGGAGGAGGAACCAAGTTGAACCACAATGGTGATCAATAATTAGTATTTTACAAACTGTGTGCGCACTGATTTACGGCCGCGATGGTTGTAACGCGGAGCCGCGGGTCGTTTGTCTTCCGGTGTCACTTCGGCACCCTCCGGGGAAGATTTAAGACCGCTTCTTCAAC